TTTTTCAAAATTATTGAGAGACTTGTAAATTTATGGGTAGCAGTAATCCACTTGCTTATCCACAATTTAGTTTCGGCAAGTAAACATCCTTATAAATATTGTTCTGTAACAATATACACTGACTGATGCAAAATTGAAACTTGAACAAAATTCACACGTATTAAAAAGCATGCCAACCCTGGTCGATGTGCACACTTTACAAGATAACTTGCTTGAATATATATTGATCAATATACAAACTTAGACGATAAGTTCAAAGTTGAGTGAAATCCATGCCTAATTAATTAGCATACTGTACTCTGATTGGTCAATGGTTTTATGCCAAGTAACTTTGTTAGATAAGGCAAGGGTTGATATCTTATTCAACAACAAAGGCAAAGTTCAAAGATGTTCACAATCTGTGCATAATCTATTCAATGGTTTAAAATAATCAGGTATTGGTCAAAGGGGTAAATGCCAGTTTCAGTTTTTAATGTTCTATGAAATACATTGTATGGACAAAGGGAAGCAATTCCAAATTCCTATGCAAATTAATTATCCAAAGGTTTAAAATGATATATTCTAGAGGAAACTTGGTACCACTCTTCTGACAAACCTATAAAGATATACTGTACACACAAGAAGAATAACTTCACAGTGGTACACTTTTACATAAAACTTTGATTCATAACAAATTAACAGTAAATCCTTCTGTACAATATGATGGGAACTTCGTCTTTATTTTGTTCTCCATTCCAAAAATAATATATATATCTTTTGCCTTAGCTTTCAGTACTTTCAGTACTTTGATTTTATCTTGGTATTCTTTAACAAGAATTAAAAGAAAACTGTATGGGAAATGTATAAAATGTCATCTTTTAATAGAAGGAATCTTTATCCTTCCCTGTAGTTAAGTCCAGAAGACTATACCAGGCTTGATCTCTTTATGAAGTTGTGATTTTCTGTTTCAGCTGGTAGATGGGTATGTTCACTACAGCTATCGCAATGATGATGGAATCCAGAACTACCCCTTCAGTGCTGTCAAGGTCAACGACGGCCAGTGGCATTACTTTGAGGTCAGGTGGCAGGATCGTGGTCAGCTACTCTTTCTCCTTGACTATGGACACTGGCAGGTTAGTGGTGGCGACAACTAGTGGTAGACAGTGAACTTTCATAGACTAAGATAGCCTAACAGCAACAAATTTGTTACAGGTAGTGTAAGGAAAGGAGCACAGCTGTAGAAAACATAACGATCACTGATAGATAAAGTAAGGTCACTGCTACAGAGAATGTTAGGTGGTCGGGTGGTGCAGTGGATAGCGCATTTGCCTTTTACCAAGGCAGCCGGGGTTCGATTCCCCGATCGAATGTGAAAAGGTTGGGGTCACCTGCCTGAGCACGTGGGTTTTCACCGGGTACTCCGTTTTCCTCCCACACTAAGACCCCCCCC